TACGCCCTAATAAACATTGATTATTTTGTAGGTAAGAGTATCTGGGGCCCAATCAGGACATGGGGAATCAAGGAAATAATCCAGGAAAGACAAAAAATTATATGATCTTATTTCGGATCCAACTCAGTTTTAAACCTCGAATTTTCGTATCTCAGATTTAAACCTCGAACTTCCGTACCTTAGATCACTCTCTCAACCTGCTTCCCCAGCTGCAGGTATAACATTGATGTAATCTGTCTTAGAAGACCCATAGTATTAATTGGCAATACAAGGTTCCAGACACTAAAATGTATGCTTACTGACTCATGCTGGCCTAAGCAGGGTTTCCATTCACATTGGAGCCACATTTGGGTTGCTGTGATGTCAAGTGCAGAAACCATTTCTAACTTGTTTAAGAATAGGCCGGGGGGGGGGGGGGTGAATATGTACGTTTAACTGTTTGGAAAACTCAAACCCTGTTGGAAATATGGTTGTGAGGGCTAATCTGTTCAAATCAAATATCAGAAATCATGAAACATGTATTACATGCAATTTATTTACACACATAACAGGGGAGACGTGGACTTAAATACGTGCACCCCCCCCCCCCAAATAAAAAAACAAACACACACACATACGCCACGCACCCAAAATCCCAAAATCACTGTCCAAATCCAAAAGAAATACACTGATTAATAACTGTATACAGTTGGACAGTGAATAAGAGAGAGATAGACGCAAGTAGAGGCAGTGTGATAGAGACTGAGTCGCCTATCTCCGAATAAAACGTTTCTTTTTTCTTTTTTCTTTTTCTTTTCCCCCCTTTTCTTTTTGGTGCCGGTAAGTGCTTTACAGCGCTTGCAACAGCATAAGGTCATAAGAGTCCTCGGGACACATGAAACATTTTCAGCTTGTAGGAAGTTCTGAAATTTGCCCTGGTGGCGGCCGAAGCCTACTCTTATCCATTTTGGACCATCAAGGAATCTTTAATGTCCACAACTTGCAAACGGAACTTCCGAAACTTTTCGCCCTCGTCTGAGAAGGCTAAGTGTAGATCTTCTCAACCATAAGATCAGGGGTGTGGCTGAAAGACAGCAGTAAGAAGGAGCCAAGGAGTAGCAGTACAAAGGTCCAGAGGAAGGGGCAAAGAGGGTGAGGGGGTTGGGGCAGAAAGTGGAGACGAAAGCAGGCAACAGAACATTGTTTGAGAGTAGGAAAGAATGTGAAAGGAGACAATTTAGAGAAGAGAATTTTCGTCGCTAGCAGGATTCGAAACCGGGACCTATTGAATAAAATGCGAACACCTTAACCTCTAGGCCACAGAGCCCCCAATGTTTCTCTGTTTTTGCTACCAGTAGCTAGCTTTGAATACACAGTGCTTCCAGTAATAATTCCATTTAGAATATACGTGCGTACTGTGACAAAATTTGCATAACATGATGGCTGAAAATGCCAGATTTCTAAATGACACCCCCCCCCCTCCTCCAGTCTGTCCGATACAACAATGAAAAACTAAATAAATGCTGAACGCCCCAATGTAACAGACACAGATTTCTTGAACGATGGAGTTGAGCCTGTTTACTTTTTACATAATGTTTGTTTAGCTGGTTTTCTTTATATTTAAAAACAAAAAAACACTACCGATTATTATAGAAATAGATAGAGAAAGAAGAGAAAATAAAATATTTTACCTCTTATAATTGTTTTGGTTTTCTTACTGGAAAAAAAAACAATGGATATGATAGAAATTCTCCTTTTCTGCTGTTTACTCTAAAGGAGAAAAATAGGCTCTCCAGACTCCAGCTATGCTGGCCTTATGAGAATTGTCCAGGCATCCATTTGTATATGTTTGTATGTTGTGTTTGGGTACGGCCAGGAGAGAGGTAGCGGGGGTATGTGTGTTTTGAGAAGGGAAGGGGGAGGAGAGAGTGAGGGGGGGAGAGGGGGGAGGGAGGGAGAAAGAGAGAGAGTAAGGGAAAGAGAAAGAGAGAGAGAGAGAGGGAGAGAGAGAGAGAGAGAGAGAGAAAGAGAAAGAGAGAGAGAGAGAGAGAGAGAGAGAGAGAGAGAGAGAGAGAGATAATAGTGAAGGTTGCATAACACACACAAAATGATATCTAGGTAAAAAAATAAATTGCTACATTATCATATAACGACAAGTGGTTACATAATATGAATATACAAACACTTTAGATATACGACAAGCGGTGAGATACTTTATAATAATTATAACAATTATTAACAGCACCAACAAAAACAGGCCCTGGTTTGCTACCGATTACTTTGCTCCTCACAAAATTCCGTTGTACTGGTGGAAAAAAACACACATAAAAAAACAATAAACTGTTGTTGTCTGGGGGACTAATCGAGAGAACCAAGGCGAAGAAGCATCTCTCAATACCCTCTTTGTGCTCAAGAATGTCCCTCCATTATATTCGCCAAGCCCGGAAAAGCTTAGAGCACGGCATGAGAGGATACCTTCATCCGATCAGCGATGGGCAACTGCTTTGAAGGGAGGGGCTCTGTAATCTTTGGGAGAACAAAGACCCCATAAGGGTTTTAACTTAGGTCTTTGTGCTGTTGTTGTACTGTTTGTTGGTGAGAGAGGATCCACAGCGTCGGAGCAGAGACAAGAGTTAGTTGTGGGGATGGTTAAGACACAGCAAGGACTTGGTGTTGTTTAGTTTTTGTTAATATCTGACGACATGTTTAATAGTGGTTGGAGTCAATTTTATTCTCTCTCTCTCTCTCTCTCTCTCTCTCTCTCTCTCTCTCTCTCTCTCTCTCTCTCTCTCTCTCTCTCTCTCTCTCTCTCTCTCTCTCTCTCTCTCTCTCTCTCTCTCTCTCTCTCTCTCTCTCTCTCTCTTGTGTTCTGAATGCGCTTTTGTGTAAGTAGGTGTATGTGAATTCTGGTCAGTGTAAGTATGTGCATTTAAGAGAGACAGAGAGAGTGGAAGAGAGAGAGAGAGAGAGAGAGAGAGAGAGAGAGGGGGGGGGAGTTTAAAGAGAGAGGGAGAGGAGAGAGAGGGGGTTGAGAAAGAGAGAAGGGGGGGGGGAGAATTTGAGAAAGAGAGAGGGACAATCCTCGAAGCACACATTTCAGGATACTAGAGAAACCAACCCTTAGACTTGTTCTGTTACGGCATTAGAAAGGTACGCACGCTGCTAGAAAATCTCAGACTTGTTATTTAAAATCCTTCCAGACAAGCTAACGTAAATCTCACCGGTATGTTTACCTCATAGTAATCTGAGAAAAAACGTTTTCATATTTCTTCTGAAATACGACCAACTATGTGTAAGTATTTCGGAGATGGCGACAATGTGATCCTTTTGAAACTAAGATATATCAATCTGAAATGTTTATCTTGCCCTTTTGTATCCTTATGGCCTTTGACAGCAAACAGATTGTAATACTACAGCACTTTGATAATAATAGGTGTCTTTTAATCCTTCGTAGAGAATTCAGGAAATTGCTTCCTTTGTAATACAAATCACAACTTTTTAGTTTTCTTAAAGCGTTAACCAGTGTAAAGGTAGTAAAATAATTGTTGTGGAGAGTGGGTAAAAGAAAAGATGAAGAGGGACTAAGAGAGACAGATAGAGATACAGAAAGATAGAGGGGAGAGAGAGAAAACCATAACTGGAATTACGTTCTTTGTATTATTGTAAAGTGCATCAAACAAGTTCTTAATAGCAATGTGATTTATATAAAGAAAAAGAACTGAAAAATCTGTACGAACAAAGAAGTTAAACTTCTCTTTTTTCTTTTCTTTTTTTTTTGGGGGGGGGGGGGAGGAGAATGCACAAATACAGCATGCCTTCGAACCTTGTCAAAGACCAGAGTACACACCTTCGTTGAGTTATTAACAAAACTGCATTCACAAAGTGGGCACATACTTTAACCACGTTGTCAAGGCAACCAACTTGTGTTTCGCGCGCTCAAATTATGACTTTATGTAGTTGCCAGCGCCGTAAAACTCTACAACTAATTTAAAGACCTCCATTATTATTGCTGTACATGTATTTCAACAAAAACCTTGGCAGGGCTTCTTAGTTTCACCGCAGTCCTATATTGTTGTTGGTTGTTTGTTTCTGTTTGTGTTTTTCACGCTCATCCATGACCAGTAGAAAGACCGAGATATTTCACCTAAATTTTCACCTCTCAGGAATCCAACAGACGCCAGTTATGTCCTTTCTAAACATCCCCAAATATAATTTACGGTATTAGAACAGTAGAGTCATAGCCTTGTTAAACACGCGCAGCCTTCCATTAAATAACAATCTCTATGGGTGGAAATTAATAAATTCACCCTTATGTGAGAGGGGTATCTCTCATGAAATTGAAGATGAATGTCATTTATTTATCTTATATTGTCCATACTTGGTCAATCAAAGTAAATTGTTAATTCCTCCCAGCCTGACTCGGCCCAGTGACAGATGCAATGTTCGACCCAGGATAAGAGATATGTGCACAACCTGTATGTTTTCTTTATGGAAACTTTACTTAACAAATTAGTGTTATATAATATAATGCCATGTGGGTCAATGATCTTAAACACTGAATAAACGTACTTACTTAGTCACAAATAGAACTTAAATCGTTAAAAGATTTCTAGTTTGAGCTACTGTTGAAGAGCAGCATAAGACAACATAAATAGTGAAAGAAGAAAGAGGCAGTGTTGGAATCTGGAAATTATGGGGCGGCAGTATTAGTGTTAGCAACATCACATGGTAGGTCAGAATGTGTACAAAGTTTAATGTAGTAGTTCTTGTAGTAGTAGCAGTAGTAATTGTTGTTCATATTGCTGTTACTACTATTAGTAGTAGTTTTTAATATTGTTTTTGTTAATATTTTTGGTAGTAGTAGTAGTAGTAGTAGTAGTAGTAGTAGTAGTAGTAGTAGTAGTAGTATCAGTTTACGGTCACTAATTCAAACATTATACCTCACCGTTGTTTTCTTAATCGCTCCGAGTGCGTATACCAAAACGTAGGAGCCGAAACATAGCAAGGAATACTTATCTCACCTCTTCCTGGTAGTCACCGCCTGAACATTCTGCCATACTTTGTTTGCCATAGTCCACAAAACTGTAAACACACATATGTGTATCTTTCCCCGAAATGATGGCCAGCCTAAAATGCCTATGTCGTCATGAAGAGGCAGGCAAATACTGCAGGTCTTTCCCCCTGTACTCGACTGAAATGTCAGTGTTGCCTCTAAGAATGTCTAGCCGCTGAGCCAAAATATCAATCAGTGTTGTCATTCAGAATATCTAGCAACAACGAAAACATGCTGTGGTTTCCTCGCTCACGTCCCGTCACTGCTAGACTATGTTGATCGCGACGAAAATTATGACAAGCTCTCCTCACTCCTCACCTCTCATCGCTGCGACGTTCAGAGAAAACAGACAGGCGCGACTGTCTGTCCGGATGTAGCCCACGCTCCAGCGAAGAATTCAATAGCCCTACATCCACCACAAGACTTGATTCCCCATCCCACCCCGCTCTTACCATCCACGCACGCCGTCCACCCGCTCTATCGAGCTTCAGCGAAACGGAGCAGTCGGAGAAATAACTATAAGTAGAGCGTACACTTGAACGAATTTGCAAACTTGGTATCAATGGCTAGGTTCACATAGGCTAGCTTTGTTGGTTCTTTTAAAAATGCGAGGTAAAAGTCAACTTGAACCCTCCACTCAGATCTTTGTTAACCTTCCGTGCACTCGCAGGGTCTCCATTCCCTGTGATGACACATGTGCATCGCTGCGTCGCAGGAGAACACACATACGCACACACACAAACACACACACACACATACACACACACACACGCACACACACACACACACACACACACACACACACACACACTCACACACACAAACATAGCGAAACAAACACACATAGCGAAAACTCACATAGGGAAAACATACATAGCAAACGCTGACATAGTGAACAACTATTCATTTCCTGATTTGTTTTCTTATTATTTTATATTGTTTGTATTCCAAAGACGGACATGGCGAAATTCATATATAACGAAGAGATCTCCGAATGTTGCCGATTTCACTATGAACGTGCTAGACTGTATTTGGTCGGATGTGTTCATCAATTCCGATCATGTACACCCGACCAGTCGATCAATGCTCACCCAGCTTAATAATGCTACCCGACTGTAATCGAGGCGCTCGAGTTGATGTGTCGGTTTTTAAACGATCTCAAGACTTAACAACAACGCCGATTCTGAAAACAAGCATCCATGTTGTTGTTGTTGTTGTTGTTGTTGTTGTCGTTGTTGTTTTCTTTGGGTTTATCTTTTTAAAGAAAATAAAGGGAGGGGTTGTAACACTGAAGGTATATTATTATTATTTTGACATGGGTCCTGTTTCTATGACGCTGGCGACTCGACATGTGCCAGGACTACAAAATTGATTCTATCTCGACCATGCCCTGCCAGTTTTCAAGGCGTCTGTTTCACATGATGTCACGGCGACCTGCACGTGGTCCCACACAGAATGAAGACTCTGGATGCACGTGGTAGGTCAACTAAATTATGAATGGAGGGAACAAGTAGCTTTTTTTTTTTTTTTTTTCTCTCTTCGTATTTAAATTCTTTTATGAAAGTAAATTGTTTTTCTTTTTTATGGGCGTTGTTTGTCCACTGCAAGATGTAACCCTCCATCAATTGTTTTATCCGGTGTTTTGGGGGTCCAGGTTGTACCCATCGGGTACTTGATGTCGTCCAGCCATCTTCTGTCTGGTCTACCTCTTGATGTTTTACCTGTTCTTGGTTTCCATTCTGTACAAGAAATTAATATACAGTTTAAATCGTATGTATATCTACAGGTATTTTTACCATTCCGGTAAAGCCACGAAAAAATCTCCCACAGTGATTTTAAAGTATTATCTTATCTTTTCTTATCTTATTTAACTGTCGTTTTCAAAATTAGGATGGAGAAAAAGATTTCGCATCTGGTTTTGTTATCTTAAGGAGTTTTTTTATTTTGTCTGTTAACGTTGATGACATTGATGTTGGCTCTTCTGTTAAGTAGTTTTATGGATCTAACGTCCTTTTCAACTATGCTAGGCTATTTAATCGGTGAGATCTCCGAATTTTACGTCCATCTCCGATTAGCAGCGAGCCAAAATTAAATGGTTTGTGAGCGGCATTTTCTTTGTCCAGTGGCGTCTTCTGGTTTGGGAATTCGGAAAGAGACCGGGGGGGGGGGGGGACAAGAGTATTTATAAGAGAGTCAGCGTGGTAAAATCAGGCGCTCGTCAAAATAATGAAATTGAAGTAACTAAATGTTTTTGTTGTCCAATTAAGAATACATTTCTGGGTGGATTTTTACTGGATAAACGTTAATTTAAGCTTTTAGTTTCCACTGACTATCAAGCTTTGGAAATAACCAGCCTTTTTCTCTCTCTAATTCTACCTTTGAAATCAGGGGACCCCACCTTATTCAGTCTCAAATATCTCGACTTCCTTTCAAGATAGAAGGGCGGGGTTTTTTTCACCGATAACAAGACAACTGAACAAGCATTTTAAGATGATACCAATAACTCCACATGCCCAAAAATTGATGAGCGCCTGATCCCACCACGTCATGACACAAAAGACCTATTATCTAGAAGGTAGGGGTACGATCCAAACTTGATTTGATCCCTGCCCACTCATATCAAAAGACACTATTTTTCTGCAAATATTATTCTTATAAAATCGAAAAAAATAACAAATAATAATTTAGAGAAGTATCGACAGACAGAGAGACCTATAGGTTTGTCAGTGTCTGTTTGTTATTTTTGCTGAGGTTGTTAACGTCGACGTCACCGTCGTCCGTGTTTTGTTTGTTCTTTGTTTTTTGTTTGTTTTGTTTTTCGTTGTTGTTGTTTTTGTATTGGTTTATTTTTTTAGTTGCTTTTCGGGTTGTGGGGGGGTGGGGGGGGGGTCTACTACCGCGCATACTTAATAGGAGACCAACGCATCTTTATAAAGTTTTTTAAATTTAGATTTCGACCAAAATTTAGTGGAACGCACAATTTTGCAACTTCTTAAAAATCAACCATATTGTTCTATTTCAAAGAGTCACTTTGTGCTTTGAGGAAAAGTAAGTATGCAAAATTGATATTGCCAGATAAAGTCAGGGAGGAGATGGCTATTTAAATCTCCAGGTGTTGACAATTTCTTTCCCAACAATCTCCAGTTGAGACCACTGGAAATCTTTAATGACCCTTTCGTATGTGTCTGAGTCAATTCTTAGGACGTCCTGTTCGACGCTACGTTTTAATTTTTCAATTGTTTATGTGTTGTTCCCGTAGACTCGCTGTCTAAAAAACCCAAAGGTAACAATTTAAGGGGCTCAAGTCTGGGCTGGGGGGGGGGGGGATACGGTGACTTTTTACGTGTAAACCTTCGGTTTATAAGGCGTTTCCCAAACTTCCTTGCAGCCATACAAAAACCACTCTAGAAATTTGGGATGTGGCCCCATTCCATTCAAACCAGGCCTCTACAGCTCTACTTGTTCAGCACGATGAGATATATCCATCAAATGTAATTTACCCGGTACAAGAATCACTTTGCTTGCGTCCGCGAAAAAAATGATGCCGGAACAAAGACATATAAATAATATATATATAAAACAGTATTCCGAAAGGGTGACTCTGTAGGAGAAGGACTTGCGGGCTTCATGCGTTGTTTTCCGTTGTTTTTTTCCCCCAGTTCTTCTTTAGGACATTAATCATTAAAGAGAATTCAGGGAGCAATTGAAAGAATGATTGTGTTACTTTTACTTTGTAAAAGCATGCAGCTACAGAGCGTGATCTGCCAGTTCTCGCTTCAAGGTAAGGACGGTAAAACCACGACAGTCCCTACAGATGGAAATCCCACCGTGTTGAAAACGTTTTAGAGAAGTTTAGGGAGGATGACGTGTAATGCTGTAGAGGCCTGGTTCCATTAGGATGGGGCCACACCCCGCGCGTCAAGAGTGGCCCTTGTATGGTTGCAAGAAAGGTTTGGGAAACGCCTTATGTGGGTGTTTTTTTTTAGAATACAAGATCAAATGATACAAAAAGGACGCAAAAAATACAAAAGAAAGCATGCATGGTATTTGTACCAAAATTGAAATTTATACTCAAGAGAAAATGGGTATGAGCTAGTCACATCAGTAGAATGAAGAATAACAGACGGGCGAAAAGGATCCACTGAATGGAGACCAAGAACAGGTCAACGATTAAGAAAAAGATCAGAAAAAGATGGAAAGGTACATCGGAGAGCGAACAGGTACAATATGGGTGAGGTAAAAATAACAATGACAATGACAATCTTTATTCATCTCCAGGGGGAAATTTGTCTTGGTCGTTTACAATGGCAGTTGATGTTACACAGCTCAGGTGCACTCACGCATACGCACAACAAGACAGGATATTAGTAAATACATGTCGCACGTGTTGAAACATCAGCTCCGTAAAAATCTCTCTCTCTCTCTCTCTCTCTCTCTCTCTCTCTCTCTCTCTCTCTCTCTCTCTCTCTCTCTCTCTCTCTCTCTCTCCTTCTTTCACTCTCTCTTCCCCCCTCTCTGTCTCTCTCTCTCTCTCTCTCTTTCTCTCTCCCTCTCTCTCTCTCTCTCTCTCTCTCTCTCTCTCTGTGCGTGTGTGTGTGTGTGTGTGTGTGTGTGTGTGTGTGTGTGTGTGTGTGTGTGTGTGTGTGTGTGTGTGTGTGTGTGTGTGTGTTTCATTTATAGCACTGTGTGCTCATTAACCTCACTGCAGTTGGTACGAATACATTTCTATATCTTTCTGTTCTTGCTTTTATGGAAATATTTCGTTTACTGCGGGTCGATAATTGAAATTCCGATGTCAGTGGGTGGCTATGGTCACTTAGCATTATTTCCGATTTTTTTAGAACGCTTGTTTTGCGCTGATATTCAACGTTACTTAGGTCTCTACCAATTGTCCTTGATGCCTTTCTAATCAACTTGTTTATTTTTATGATTTGATGTCTTTTCAAATTGCTACCATAGCAAGAGATAAAAAAAATTATCAAATTTTCTTTTGTGGTGGTGTAGAATATCTGAAGGATGGATGGACTGAGATTGAAATACCTACGTTTCTTCAGAATGTACAGCCTCTGATTTATCTTTTTAACGACATTGTTTTTCGTGATTTTGTCATGTAAATTTGTTGTCGATTGTAAGACCAAGATATTTGTATGAGTCCGTGATTTCAATTGTTTATCGTTCAATTACAAGTGGTGAGATTATTGGTTTTTCTCTTCTAAAATCAGAAATCATTTCCTTTGAACAGCTAGCTGACAGAACAGAGTAGTAGTCAGTGCTGAAAGCCACACTTCGCACTGGACAGAGAACACCTAGAAAGAAAGAAAACGTCTTCTTTGTCTATTGCTATAGTTTACACCATAATGTGTAACTAAAATAATTCTTGAGCCCTCATTCTTGCAATGAATTAAAAACATCTGGCACGCGACGCCATATCGACCACAGAAAGACTGGAGACCCCGGATGCTCCTAATAGAAACCTCAAGTTCACTTCTACCACATCGACCTTGCGGAAACCAGTGCGGCCTATAATGCATACACCATTGGCTCTATCTACAGAAGGTTGTCAACGGTGGTTCGATCGAACCCAAGTTAGTTGCGTTCGGTTCGTCAATCACATAAATTCGGTGCGGTCTGTTCCTTTTTATCCAATTCAATGGGTTTGGTGCGTTGATGTTATAACGTGCGGGACTGCGTGCCCCAAACAAGGTTATGATCCGTTCACCTGCAGGGTTTCTACAACTAC